GTATTACTATCTTTTGGCTCATACTCTCTATGTTTTACAAAGAGTGTCTCGTTTTGGAATTTTTTTTTTTTGACAAAGACGGTTGTATTACATTTTTCATGTAATTTTTCGTACCAATTTCATAATTTACGATTAATTCAAAGCTATTTTTCTTCAAATTTTAGTCATTATCATCTAATCAATTACTTATTAAATAGGAATATATATGTATAATGAATCGTTTATTAATTTGTGTGAGATGTGTCAAAATGACAGTTTTTATAAAATAGAAAGTGTATGTGTTTTTGAAATTTGTGGCTGATTTTGTCAAAACCAACAAACAAATATCTCTTCTATTTTCAACATTGAAACTATTGGAATAATGGCAATAAATCTGACATGAAATCCCGTCTCCATCAAAGCTCATTTTAATAAAAAAATAGAGCGGTTTTGCTTTTACAAATAAAAATCGAAAAGGTGTTTTTTTATAACAATCTCTTTCATTCACATATACAATAAGAAACATATCATGCTTATGTATCTTCTCTCTCATTTTTTCCATAAGTTTTGACAGTATACACATTACTAGCGTTCGATGAACTTCTGATTTTGGTTACTAGCGTTCGATGAACTTCTGATTTTAATACCCCAGTTTCAGAAATATGGTGGTACATGCAGAGAGATTTAAAAGAATTGATTTGGTCACCTATGTCACCAAAGTGCACTTATCTTTTCGGTCAACTGTCCTGAGAGAACTTCACAATTAAGCGTGCTTAAGCTGGAAAAGTTTTAAGATGGGTGACCTTCCGGAAAGTGATTATCGGAACAGTGTGAGTGAGGACAAAACACAGGGAAAGATCATGTGGTAATTTGTAGGTTTGGTAATAAGTCTTTAAAGCCTCCCGTACGTAGCGGACCGGCCGTAGAAAGATGGTGGATCCACGGGCCGAGAGAGAACGTGGGGCCCATTAAGAGAAATGGCGGTCGGGACGTTACATTAACACTAATAAAAATAATATAATGGTCAGCAAAATTGAGTTATTCTCCATATTTAATTTTTGAAAATTTTAAAATATGAAAAATAATTTTTGAAAATTTAATTTCAAAACTTAACTTGATAATAAAATATAAGATTATCTAATTGCTTTTTCTAAAAATTTATTTTAAATTATCTAAAAGTTATTAAAATTATCCGAACATGAATTTGATTCTTGACCATTCTCTTAGTGATTTAATGTATCTGAATTATTCATATATCATATAGTTATTATCTGATTTATTTTAAAAAATAAAATTTGAGGTATAATTTTTGATATCCAAATATTTTAATTCAAGTTGTGTACTCGTTATTATCCAAATTTTCATCTGAAATGATATAATATGTATGAGTTGTTATTGAAATTGAAAAACTACTGAATTCAAGTGAATTTAATTTTATGCAAATGGTGTAGCGAAATTTGGTTGAATTCGCTGAATTTTTATAATGTTACCATCTACAACCTTTGTTGGATAATATTGCATGAACGCAAATATAAATATAATCTTCCTAGATAGTGGAACTCCATTCTACTGCTACTACAGAGTTTCCAATATACTAATGCGCATAAGCAGGTTTGGCCCTTATATAAAATCCAGCAAACTGGATTATCTCATCAGTTCAAGTAAAATATAATATCCGACGCACAATGCATCACACGCTCTTCAAAAATAAATCTCTCTAACCTAATCCGCCGCCGCCAAAAAAAAAGTTTCCGATTTGAGGCCGGAGTGCGGTGGCTTCTTTCGCACCGACTCCGGTCTCCTCGTCCTCTCTGTTTTTAGCCTTCAGTTCTCTGTTTTCTGCTTTTGCGATTTGGTTTGGAGGAGTTTGGAGGAGTTTCTGGTCTATTTTCGATTCTGGCCGACGGTGGTGGCTGAGTTTGTTCGGTGACGGCGTCTCTCCACTCTTCCTCTGGTCCCTGTTCCCGAATCTGTGATTGGCGGTTTTATTACGGTGAGTTTGCTCTCTCCCTTCCCGTGAGCTTATCTTCGTGGCTCTCTTTCCTTGGTGGTTGTGGTTGTTTGCAGAACTTTTGGCCTTCATTTGGGGAATTCTCTTGGTTGTTTCGAGTGTTGATTTGGTGTGTGTGTTTGGATGCGGGTGGAGCGGACAGATCTTTTGGTTTTGTGGGTTAAGCAAAGATGATGTTTCCGGATCTTTGATTTACGGTGTGTTTCTTCCCAGCCCTTGCCCTTCCTTTCGCCGCTGGTCTACTTGTTTCAGCCTTGGGTTCCCTTTTGGTTCGCTCCCTTCCTATAAAAAAGCTTCGTTTTGTTTGATGTCGAGTTAGTCATCTAAGTGTGCAGTTGTTTCTTCTTCTTGGTGTTGCTCGCTGTGGATGATAGCTTTCTTGTTCCTGCGTCGTGCTTGTTTGAGTTCGGTGTTTTGCAAGAGGTTTAGCTTCGCTCCTTGTACTTGCGTTTCAGATTCGTTTGGATCTGATCGCGTTTTGAAGTCTTCTACCTAGACGATAATGGTTAGGGGCGCTTTGGTCGCCGTCGTCGCATCCGGAAGTGTTTTTGAGTTTCTCTAGTGTTCTTGTTTGCCGGGTTATGAAGTACTTGGTTCTGTTTCCGAGAGATCGGCTCTCATCTTGATAGGAAGTTGTTGATGTTATCTTCGGGCGGGCCGTGGGCAGCCGTGGTAAATCTCATTCGCATGTGGATCAGAAGAAGAGGTCTCCTTGCTTCTTAAGTCTAATGTTTCTTGTTTGGTTTTAGCCTTGTTGCTTTTGTTGTTAGTGTAAGGGTTCGTCCTCTTTCGTTTGGGTTTTGAGTTTTTCTGCTCTTTGTTCTTAGTGTTTCTAGTTTTCCTTTCATAGGGCTTTGGTTCCGGAGAAATCTTGTTTTCCTCCGGCTATGTCTCCGGGGACTTTACTTTGTCCGCCGGCTTTGTTTCCCTTGTTTGGACGTTGTTGTATCTTATCTTGGTTCAACAACAAGTTTATCAATAATATTTCAGATGACAAAAAAAAAAAAGGTTTATCTCATCAGTTATGATAAGTCTACAGTGGTTTACGTCACACGTGTTGGGTACTCTTTATTTTTGTTTTACTTTATTTTGTTTTATAAAGGGGGATTAAAAAGACTTTGGGCCGGACATACTCAAAGAAAGCTGATGCGATTGGCTTGGCAACTCCTTCAACTCATTATATTTAGCAAAAATTGTGCCTAATGGACTTTCGTAATTTTATTTCTCGTTATAAATAGAAAACCAAATTTAGAAATCAAATTTTCGAAAAAAAAAGTTTAATCTTTCTACGAGGAAAAACAAAAAGTAACTTAAAATGTTTCTCAGCTACACGAAGTAGATACCAACATATAGCCACACATGCAGACTTTACAAATGTATCATTAGCTACACGAAGTATTGTCATTACATGGTGACATCCACGAACTAACATAAGTCATGTTGCAAACACCATAACCATCATATTCCGGTGCACTACTTGCCGGAATTCGATAACCTCCGGCGTTGACCGGTATTGACTTAAAAATTTATTTGAAAACATGATTTAATTATTATTTTTTTTGCTAAAAATAATTAAAAGTAATGTTGATAGATAATTACAAATAATAAAATAATCAGCCACTAAAACATGAAGCCATGACTCTTCGTTGGATGATGATGACGATGATTTTGACTCTGATGAGATCTAATACTTATGTAAGAATCAGATTCCCTCTCTTGTCAAATTCCCTGAATTGAATTACCCATGGTTTTGTCATGCGTCGATGGGAGTGGCCAAAGAGAAATCTGGAAAATCTTTGAGCTTTTTGAATCCTCTAAAATCCCAATTTATCATCTGTTCTTCATATGACTATATATAGTCTTTAAAAGGAGTCAATTTCTCTTTGGTGTTCATATTCTTAATTACGTTTCTTATCAATCCAATCCATATATTTTGAGTCTCAAAGTTTCGCTTTTTTGAGTGATGATGATTGTAGTTCCGATGAGATCATGTTGTGAATCCTTTAAAATCCCCAAATTCACAAAACCCTAAAATCTCTAATAAATTGACAAATTAATTGAAATTTTCGTTATAATTCTACAAAGGAACCGATTAAAAATTTAGGAAAACACAAACACATCCGTTTCCTAACAAAATCTGGGTTCTTCTTATGCCTATTCTCTTTGCCTTCTTCTTCTTCTTCTTCTTAAACCCGGATTTAGTGATTTTCGATTTAGTTATTTGTAAGTCTCTTTTCCTCATCTTCTTCTTGAAACCTGATGCAAACATAATGAAATAGAGATGTTCTTGAAATTTTTGGAAGGGAGGAAGGAAGAAGATGAAACAGTGTTTCCCGTTTTCTCTTTTTTTTTAAGCTAAATTATGTAATTATTTTTGGTGTTCGAAAAATAATTATGTAATTACTTTTAATTATTTAGAAAAATAAATAAATTTAAATAATATTTTTAAATATTTTTTTTTATGTCAATACCGGTCGAACGCCGGAGGTTATCGAATTCCGGCAAGTGATACACCAGAATATGATGGTTATGGTGTTTGCAACATGACTTATGTTAGTTCGTGGATGTCACCATGTAATGACAATACGTCGTGTAGCTAATGATATATTTTTAAAGTCTGCATGTGTGACTATGTGTTGGCCTCTACTTCGTGTAGCTGAGAAACATTTTTCCTTTACATAACCTAGACACACTTTTCATCGTTTCTTTTAGGGTCTTTCAAAATTAAAAGTTGAAATAATTACAAAAATAAAAAGAAGAATAAGAAAAGACAGCGTATGCTTTGCATGGTCAGAGCTCAGAGGTTTCCTCATGCATGCAGAAGTGGACCCGAGTAGCTTCCCATCTTCATCAACCGAGTGGACCCAGTTCGGAGCACCGAGTTGACTCAGAGATTCTCTCCGAGTCAAAGTCTCCTCTTTCACCGTTTTCTTCGCCGTGCTTAAACCATGTCCTCTCGCCACTTGAATGTCACACTTCACGTTTCTGCATTTAGAGAATATCATAAACAGAGGAATCTTGATTTTTCTTAAAATTCATACAACATAATGTAATTTACCTTTTATCATTATCATGAACAATACAAGATTACTGGTTCATGTCCGCGGTTGGTGTGCCGTCAGTGGTGCCCGGAGGAGACAAGTCGGGAAGATTATGGTTCACCATCAATAATGGCCAAGAACGGTGTTGACTTCCCACACCAAGAAAGTCTCTCGTGAAGCCTCTTTCATCAACTTCCTTAGTTTTGATATTCTCTCCTTGTTTGTTGTTGAAGATAGAGGTCATTAGACCAAAAGTCTTGCTATTGTTTGAGCTTGATGATGATGATCTCTTTGATCCCATTTGAGCTGCCTTTTGTAGTAATGCCGTGGCTGACATTGATGCTATTTGTCCACAGTCTTGGTTATAATTATTATTGTTGTTGCGTGCTTCCGAAGAGAACAAAGAACCATTACTAATCACATTCTTGATCTCACGTTCTTCTTGATTCTTGGATATTCCCCTTTGGAGAATGTTGTTGTTCTTGTTTTCATTGAGAAGCCACTGATGAGATGATTGTCCTTGTAAATGCCATAGATTTTGAAGGGAGTCAGATGCACTACGAGGTGATGGCGATGATGAGGACGCAAAAACGTTGGTTGGTAAGGTCTGTCCCAAAAAGGCAATGTTATTGCGACGGATATTGAAACCGGGTTGGTCCAAGTGAGAAGATGTAGTATTAACTTGTCGTTGTTGATGATTTTGATTGATGTTTCCAAGGTTTACTTCCCCATCCGGGGGATTGTTCAAATATGCGGGTGCGGGTGCGGCTGGTGGTGGTGGAACTGAGACAAATCTAGCATTCTCTTCAGCTAAGGCGTCACAAAATGCTCTATGTGTGATGAAACTATCTTTCCTGTTCAAATTCAATCATCCAATATACTAATTCAATAACGTTACATATATATAATCAGAGATCTTAACTGATTTTAGTTTTAACACTAACGGTTGTATAAACAATGTTTTTTCTTGAATTTAAATTTCTCTCTTTAACAAAAAAAAATATGACTTTAAAAATAGTGTTGTTATATACCTGGAAAAGAGGGTACCACAGTCACATCTGTATTCTCTAGTACCACAAATCTTGCTATGAGCTTTCCAATCGGACATGACAGCATATTTCTTGGAACACTTGTCACATTTCCACTTTTTCTCACCATGTTTTCTGCTGAAATGCTTCTTGATTCCGGTTAAGTCACCGAGGGCTCGGGCCGGGTCATGGTGTACGCAGCTCTTCTCTGGACAGATGTACACTTTTTTCTTCACTTGCTCCTTGTTTGTCCTTTGTTTTAGCTTCCATGGAAGGTTATGGCCTCTCCGGTGAAGCTGAAGGTTCTGGTCTCTCTTAAACCCTTTGTTGCAAATCTCACATATGAATCGATTCGTCGCCATGAGGGAGTTTGGCGATAGAGCAATGACTTCTGCATCTGGATCTGGTTTTTGAATTTAATTAACCATATAAAAACCAATTAACTAATATATGACAAGGAAACATGACAAGAGAAAGAAAAAAAGAGATCCAAAGTTGGAACAAGAATATTGTTCTTGATCGAAAACACATTGAAAAAAAAAAGATTATCAAGAAATTCATCTATTGTATATATTAAAAGTCTAAGATTTCGATTAAGTGTTTATATATACATGCCTGGATTTCCCGGGAGATTTCTCTTCCTCTTGGCTGAGTTAGAGGAGGTAGGATTAGGGTTAGGGTTAGGATTTGGAGTGATGTGTTCTTGGTGAAGGACATAGCTGGGAAATGAGAGGTGATGATGATCATCTGGCATCATCATGTTGGTATTGGTTTAGTTGAGAGATCGAGAGAGAGAGAGAGAGAGAGTTTCGAAGTAAGAAGACAAAACAGTTGGACAGAGAGATATACAGAAAAACTCTTTAATTTTTCATACAGTTCTCTACTAAATCAAGTAAAATTCTGAGAGCAAGAAGACAGAGAGAGTTATGAAGAAGAAAACAAGTAAGAATGTAACTAATTATATATTTCCAGTATAATATATAGAGAAAAAAAAATACACCTAATTTACAGAAATATAGAATCTTAAAAATTACACTAATTTTGAAGCTCGAAATATTATTTTCTTATGGCTGTGAGAGTTCTATTGCATTGAAAATTTTAGCATGTAAGAATTTGGACTTTAATAGTCATCGGTTTGTATATATAAAGAATTCTTATTTCAATTAATTGAATGTTTTACACTAGTTTCTTAATATATAAATCCCACAAGACTTATAGAGAAGTAAGCGCTAGATATTTCTAAGTTTGATGACTTGAAAAAATGGGCATCCTATTTTTTTCCAAGAAAGTTTCAAAAGGATTTTTTTTTTTTTTTTTGGGGTCGTCGGTACAAATTTTAATATAATAGAATTTTGTTTTATTATTTGTGATAGTAAGCTTTTGGACACTTGCAAAGAGTCTTGTAGCATAAAACCAAAAAGAAAGCTGGCGAAGAGGGAATCTCTCTCTCTTCACACACGACTGTTCTTCTTACAAGTCGGTCAGCGATAGACTCAAACTGGACCACTTTCTATCTCTAATTCTCTATATTAGTTTCATCTACATAACGTAAGTATATATACATACTCAAAGTCAAGTGTACGTACAATCTACAATTGTATATAAATACATACAAACTGTATAATTTATATGAGTTTTGTATGCAAGAATTGTGTATCTTAAAACTTGATGACATTTCTAACTTTGTAGGCTCTTTCACTATTCCTGAATCTCATTTATCCCAAGACCAAATCAGTTCGATGATAAAACCAAAAAAAGAAAAAGAAAATCAGTTCCATAAATATAAATAAGAAAAACCAATAGCTAGGTTGAACCAAGGTTATGTACGAATACACACAACATAAGTGGATTTCTTCAGACCTCTGCAATATTTTTCAAAACAATATGGCTAGTAAAATCAAATAGAAAATTACTGTTCTTGTTTACTAAAAATAAAATAAAATTTGAGTTGGAAGGTTTTCAATAATGTTTTTATATAAATTACTACTCACGAGAACCATTTTGAGTAATAATCTTAAGATCCTAACCAATAATTGTGCAAGATCATAACTAATAAACTACTGTCCAATTTCACTTTTTAGCTTAGTTCGTTAGATAAATTCTTTTGTACTCTGGTCTCCGGTACGATGATATGATACTATGAGATTTAGATCCATTACTTCTTTATTAATCAATAGAAAAATTCTTTTAATTTTTTTTTTTTACTTTTTAGGGTAATTATATCATGATATCAATTTCATGATTTCTTTATTTTATCTAGAGTCTTTAAGAACCTAGGTAAGTTGCTGATCTTGAATCCTAACAACTTCTTGGGTAAGAAATAATAAAATCCAAAAGAAGTGATGTAGAGTTCTAATATAGACACAAGGTCGACAAGTTATGGATGGGTCCCATAGAAAAAGGAAGATAGATCTCATCTGATTATTCAGACAAAGAGATGACTGTTCCTTCTCCCTATCCAAAAATTTCTCTGAATTTTTCTTTACTTTAGTTTTCCTTTAGAAAACCATGATTTAAGCATTTTGAGTAGAGATAATCTTGTGCTAGAACAAACAAAGAAGAATTCTTAGACATTGTTAATGATCATGGAGTTGATTATCTTACTAGTCTTGAATTTGAAGGGCATATCATTAATAGGTTAGGATGAATGGTGATGTAATACCTAAGAAAATTCCATTGATTCTGCAAATGAAAATAATTTTTGGATTTTGTTTGTCTTATTGGAAATTACAAACCACAATATAATAACAAACAGATCTTAAAACTTATATGTCTACTATGTATATTAATTGTCTCTCAAAGAAATAGGATGTTCAAAAAGTGTGACCAAAAATAATATCAGCTTGGGACTAAAACTTATTCCGTCTTGGGCTTTTCAAAATTTTGTAGAGAAAATAGTTTTTTGGTGGGCTTTTCAAAACACATTAAAGTGGGTAAAACATAGTTGATTTGGAAGAAAAAAATCCGCTACCACCCGTAACCGTGAACGCTTGCGGAAAAGAGATTTTGAAATTCCCCGATTTTGAGCGATCCAGAGCGATATTTATGATTGGTTTAAACGCTACGTTTGTAGGTGGTAACCGGAGAACCAATTAAGATTTTTCCATGGCAATTTTTCTAAGTTGTTTTTTGTTCTTTTGTAGTTCCTTGTAATATCTATATATACATTTTTGGAGTACACTTACAAATAAATCGTAGAGTTGCTAAGTATTTACGAGTCTATGCCATTGGCATTTATTATTATTTTTACAAAATTAAAATAAAAAATATTAACCAAACAATATCTTGCCTAATTTGTTTCTAAAAATCTCTACACAATCTATCCCTATATCTTCAAAAAACATTTATAGCAAATATTTATATTAACATTTTGCATAGCAATAAAAATACTAATTTATAATAATCAAAATATTCACATAGAAAAATCATATACACTTACAGGAAAAAGAACTATATCTATCATCATTTAAGTCGTTGCTTTATTTAAATAAAAAAAAAACACAAAAACTTGAAATCATATACTTTATATGATAAATTTAAAATATATATTAGAAGTATAAATTTAAAATCGTTCAAAGAACGGTATACCACGGGTGAGATCCTAAAGATTTTATAACAATAATCATTTATTTTCTTGGATTTTATAACACTAATTATTTAGCTAACGAGATAATATAGACGGAGTTATATGGGATGACGGGTTTGGGTCGATATTAATAAAAAAAGGTATATCACATATGAATCCTAAAATTAACAATCAAAATACAATTATACAATCTTAAACACAAAACAAAAGAAACAATATTAACAAAAAAAAATCCAACTTAAATTTAAAATTTTTAGTTATAAAAAGCTGACCTACGGTATACTGCAGAGTAAAATATTCAAAATTTTAAAATCCACCATACATCGTTACTTAAAAAAAAATATGTTTTCGTATCTATACTTCAAAAATTGATATATAGATATCTACATTTAAAAATACAAATTAATATGATATATCTTCAGTTAATCTTAAAAAAATAACATTATATTTTTTTTTTAAATATAGTCCCGCGGTATACCGGGAATACATTTACATTTTCGGAATACATTTAGTAAATAAATCCTAAAATTGGGATGTATTTACAAGTTATGTTAAACAGATTTAGGAAATAAAAGTATCTCTTAGCAACGATTTAGTGTGTTTCATATTTACAAACAGATTTAGGAAATAGAAACCAACACATTAACACGTTTTCTTAGCCTATTAATATGACGATATCTCTTTACTTTCTTATAATCCACTATTTAAAGCAAAATTTTAAATTAACTTGAATTATATATTAAAAAGAAAACGATGTTTAATTTCAAAGGACGGGGTTATATAGTGAAACGGGTTTGAGTCGATATTTATATGAAACAATATACCACGGGTGAAATCTTAGAATTGACAGTCAAAATACAATTATACAATCATAAACACTAAACAAAACAAAAAAATATTAACAAAACAAATACAACTTAAGATTTAAAATTGTAGTATAAAAAATCGATATGTGGTATAATATATAAGATAGTATAAGTATGTTTAAATCAAACAAAACAATAGATTATATGTATAGATAATCTTCAACAAAAAAATCTTCGGTTTTTTTTTTAAAAATATAGCCCCGCGGTGTACCGCGGGTTAAACTCTAGTTTTCATTTAATTTATATGAAGCGGGCTTAAAAATATGATGGGTACGTGTGGAGCAAACAGATTGGCATCTTCACTCTCCGATCCACTGAACCATCCTTTTTCAGTTCGCTCGATTAAAAATACAAGAGAGAAAGCTAGAAAAAAAATTCTGGTTATCGATTACACAAATATTAATATGAACTAATTATAAGTTTTCTGTTCTAATATTGTTATTATCTCTAATTCAGTGAACAAAAATTCATTGTTTTTCTTCACACTTTAGCTTTCTTTTTCTTTGTAACACTTCGGTTTCAAAAATATGGTGGTGCATGTGGAGATGTTTTAAAAAATTGATTTGGTCACCTATGTTACCAAAGTGCACTTATCTTTTCGGTCAAACATCTTGAGAGAAATCCACAGTTAAGCGTGCTTGAGCTAATGCAGTTTCAGGATGATTTGGCCACCTATGTTTGGCCACCTATGTTACCAAAGTGCACTTATCTTTTCGGTCAAACATCTTGAGAGAACTCCACAATTAAGCGTGCTTGAGCTAATGCAGTTTCAGGATGGGTGACCATACGGAAAGTGATTGTCAAAAACGTGTGAGTGGAGAAAAAAACAAAGGGAAAAATGTCGGAAAATGCGCGAACTTTCAAATTTGGGACAAAAAAAGCATGAACTTTCGAAATGTCATTTAAATCATAAAGTTTAGTTTGACTTTTGATTAAATGGTTAAGTTTTCGTTGACCTGGCCATTTCGGACATGTCGTTAAATTTCCGTTAACGAGACGATGACGGGGTTAACTTTCCGTTAGAAATCTCCGTTGAATCGAAACGACGGAAAGTGCGATTCTTCACAGACGCAGTTGATTCATTTTATTTTCCAGTGAAATGATGTCGTTTTGTTGTTTTGAAACCGACGTCGTTTCGATTCAACGGAGATTTCTAACGGAAAGTTAACCCCGTCAACGTCTCGTTAACGGAAATTTAACGACATGCCCGAAATGGCCAAGTCAACGAAAACTTAA